TTAATTTAAAGGCAATTTGATGTACGTAGGTCCTTACCTTAGGTACAAACAATTATTTTTATTTCATGATTGACTTTTGATAGATTTAACATTTAATTTCGATTATTCTCATATTTATTTCCACGTTATAAATATTGTTATCGTCCATAAAAAAAATTCATGTAAAACATCGTCGAAAACAATCACAGTAGTGACAACTTGGGAATTCAAAATTTCAGGAATTCAGGTCCGAAATGTTGTTCACGGAGTCGGCCTGATTCCAAAATGGGATGTCGTGTTGGCCTTTGTGCTCTTGGGGTCAAGTTTAAAAAGTGTGACACAGTGACACACTGATATTCGCATTTATTATATAGAAGATAGTGACTGCTATTCTGTATAGTTACTGCCGAAGAATCCCTCCCATATATATCTCACAGAAACGTCGATCTTACCTGGGTGCTCTACACTTTCGGCCTTCCATCACATCTAAATTACGTTTAGAAACTCATTTCGGGGAACTTCGACATGGTATAATGGTTAGCAAATTTCTATCGCTAGATCAGTTCCGACTGATTAATGAGATCGATCCTCACTGGGTGCCCGATATTTTCAAATTTGCGCCACACCAAAGCCACACTTAAAAATCAAAAAAAGTATATAATTGGTATATACGAAATGAATTTCAATAACCAACAATTACTATTCTTAAAAGAGTGCTCAATACAAAGTAGAGCAGATATAATTATTATTTATAAAAAAAATTATAACATAAGTATGTTATAAAATCACTACAAAAATAGCCATTTTGTTTCAACGCCCTCGGTGTCTTATCAAGTGATGATGTTGAAGATAAAATAAATCATTTTTAAATTATTTTATCTATATATATATATACAAGTGTTTCATCAGATCAATGATTAAAAGCTCCTTCAATTGAATGACTGATTGATTGGTTCATTTTATACAGTTTATCAACGATTTGCAGGTTATTTAGAGCCAGAAAATATAAGTTTCTAAGATTTGGGGGGGGGCGAGGAAATAATAAGTCTTACCATAGCTGAGGAAGAAGAGGTGGATCCATAGTTTTCCCAAGGATATTTGCGCTAAAGTGAATATAAGGAAACCGACTGGAATTAGAACTCGGCTCTCCGATTAACAATTCTGATTCATAATTCATTACACCACTCGCACATCCAAGCAAGCAAAAGGTTTAGAAGTAAACTTCCATCAGCAAAAGAAAAAAACGATAAAAATGGAATAACTTCCCGACAAAACTATTTTATGAAAATGATTTTATTTAATTCAGCCGACACACACACACACACACACACACACACACACACACACACACATATATATATATATATATATATATATATATGTATATATATATATATCATAATAATAATTCATCGAGTCTAGAAAAAGCCTCAACAGAATGCAGAAAGCACTGTAGGGCCGTTTCGTACTATATTTGGGACTCATCAGCAGTTCACATCCACTACCGAGAATTGAAGGCCCTGACAGTTACGTTATGAGACAAACGTCATATCAACGAGCCTTCGGTGACGAAGAGGTAACGAATTAGATTCGATATCGCGCCGCTCGTTCACATATTCCGTGGTGGAGCTCATCCGAGTTTTGCTTACCCATAGCATTGTGCCCACCCCTCTCCACCAGCCACGACTACAATCACCAAGCCTGTCCAACTGGAGCATTAAAGCCGGTTCTAGCTAGGATAAACAAAATGCGCTCATTTAGCACTAATCGATTGTGAGTTCTCCCTTGCAAGAGAAACCGTCGTTAGATTCGACGTACTTTAGATCAGCTGAGCGACTCGTGTGTCACTGATTAAGTAAGGTCGAATAGTAATTCATAACTATAAAGAGAACTAGAGAGAGAGATAGAGAGAGAGAGAGAGAGAGAGAGAGAGAGAGAGAGAATGGCAAACCACCAACATCGTCGTTGTGAAAGAAGCACTCTATATTAAACATCTAGTACCTTGGATTAATCTCACCTTATTTATCAACGGATAAAAGTGTGCTAAAAGTGTTTTTTTTTTTTTTCTGATAGAATAACGCCAACTCGATTCCCAGCCACGTTCCTTTCGTGGGATTCAGAACAAATGCTACTATTATATAGGCATCACGCAACAACATCTTTTAAAAAGGCTACCATGAAAAGGAATTAGCAACACTTAACAACAATGTCCTTGAAAATAGCTAAAGAAGTACCTACCGAAAGAGCTTGGGACAACAGATACGGTGGGCAAGTTTTACACCTCGTTACAAGCATCAAAGGAAAAACTTTAAGAATATTACAAAAAAATCAATATATTGATGAGGCGGTTACATTTAACTGCTTCGACAGTAAAAGGGTAGGGCCTAGATGCCAACCACGTAGCACGCTTAAATTCATGCAGTCGGGGCTCCAAAATATATTTTCGATTCAATTTATCTAATACAGAAGATATTAAATTTATTTGGATTGATTTTTGAAATAATAAAACTTGAACACAGTT